TTTGCATTTGATGACGTAGGAGCATACGCTAGTTTATCGCTGAGTAACCTTCGGAACGGGTTTGGAAGAGTATATTTAAATCTATCTTTTATGTAGGAACCTACAATTTTGGCCGCCTCCGCATAGTAAATTTTTTTTGGGAAACATTTTTTAATGAGTGAAATACAATCGGAAGTTTTCCAATGGCCCGCCGAGAGGCGACCGCTGCTAGCAAGAACTCGTAGAGCATTTTGTAAATAAAATATATTCAGTAGAAGCTGCTCATAACCGCAGACCAAAGTAATAAAATTTCCTGCTGGGCTTACATGTGCATACAATTATGTTCGTAAATACAGCATATGTACTTAGTTGGAATACTCGAAAAAGAAAAAAACATTTGGCTAGTAAATCAATAAACTTATGAATTTTTTTCCTTTACCGGAAAACACAGATCCGACATTTCGAAGGAAAGGAAAAATGTATTGTGTTTCTAGTTGTTTGTTTGTTCTTGTTTTTAAGCATTCAACGGGTATATTTATTATTTTGTGCACTCAAATTGGCTACAAATTGTGCAAGCATAGCGTGGGTCTAAAGGCAAACAATTTACTATATAGACATCTGCAGTGTATTTTGAAAAAAAAAAAAACAAAACAACAACAAATGAGTAGTAAAACTGCCTTCATACCAGCTGTTTATAGTTGCCCAAGCTAAGTCGTCGGAAAATGAGAGTGATATATAGTAACTATTCTACATATGATTGTGTGTATGTATGTATGTTAATTTGCGTCTTTAACATTAGAAAACATAAACGACAATGAGAACATGTGAAGCATATCCACTGTGATATTTGGTAGGCTGCGCCCTGCCTCCTGGGAATAGGTTTTCTACCGAGTTTGGAGGCAGCCGCTAAAACGAGGGAACAAAATGGTTTTCCAGTTAGCAAAGAAAACTTTTATGATGTTTTCAAAAAGACGCGCAGTGGCTGGCCAGCCTGCCCTAACCTAACATAACCTAACTAAATTAAATGAAGTTTTAATAATAAATTAAATTAATAATTTTAATAAATAACAAACATTTCCTTTTTCTTTACAGATGCCGTAATATGTCTTATGGTAATTCTTGCACTACTCCATTCTTTGGAGTATCACCATACATATAATCTCTGGCGATTTTTATCATGGCATACTTGGTGCGAAATTAGCATTTCGTGAAAGAGATTTTCTACAAATGGATGAACATTCCAAAGAGATTTTCTACAATGATCTGGGTAAATTAATAAACGACACATACACGGATAAGGCTTTGCATAATTTAATTCTGAAGACGATATTACGCCTAGCCAATGGATGTTAATGGTAAAGTTGCGTTGTAAATACATTTTAATATTTGCTTTAATCTTTTTCATCAAATCTCAGCCACAACAAAGCAGCCTAAAGTGCGCAAAACCTATCACATTTTCCAACTGGCACGTCCCGATGAAGAGAAAGGTAAAGCAGAGGAGGACGAGGGGGCGCCTGAGGAAGATAGCACAACCGCACTGCCACCGTGAAGTTAATATGACGCATGATCGCCAATTTTTGGCTACAGTATGTATTTTGCATATGTATGTTGTATGTATGTGTATAAAATAAGAATTTAAGACTTTGCTGTCGGCAAATATTTACATCATTTGTGTAAATACATATTTAGCGTAAATATTTACTTTAGCGTATTGCTAATGTTTATAATATTTTCGCTTACACTGCTGATGTTTATCTAATTAATTTTTTTTTTTCAAAATTTTCTTTCACATTCCCAAAAGTTAATAATTATTCTTTTTTCTTGTAGTGATGCTGGATGTGCATAAAACCGTTGGCGTCAAAGCGCCGCCGTTCAATTCATTTATAGTTTTCCATTTTTGTCGGAAATCTTTGCAATAATATGGACAGCAATGTGCTTAATATTTCAGTCAGGCGTTCAAAAGTATTGGTGAGTGCTTGTACCCTGCAGGAAATGCATCTAACTATAAGCTAACTTTATGTTGATTAGGAAAGAGCTAATAGCTGTATATTTTCTTTGACGAAAGCTAACTATATTTCTATGGAGATGTCCGCGAATTAGGCAGGACATTTGATGCATTTTCATGTAACTAACTACTTTTGGACATAAAATATCAATAGAAAAAGCAAAGTATTTTTTATTATTTTTATTTTTTTATTTATTTATTTTTATTTACTTACTTTAATTATTTTATTACATTTCATATTTGCTTACATATTCTTCAGTAGGTAGTCCTATATTGAAATTCCGTCAGACATAACTTCAAAATGATAATATGAAATTTCGATCTGCCTCGTATTTATCCTCAATTCGAAAACTTTTTGTAGAAATCCCACAAAAAAGCTAACTACAAGTAAGTTATTTTTTATCAATTGATAACTTTTTTCTACAGGGTAATGTATGCACATACATACAAACTTACATATGTTGTTTACATTAGAAAGTTAGTGTTAATGAACTTGCATGGAAAATTGCATATTTACGGCAGACAGTTTTGTGGGTGTAATAGAAATTATGTGCTAGAGTCGCGGAGAGACCATGAAGATGAATCAATAAGTCGTTGATTAAATTTTTTAATAAAAGATAATGATCCTTACAATCTTTTTGGTTGAGCATATTCTTCTTTTTAAGCTTTGATGTACACCATCAAGATTTTTACTCTTTATCTATACATATCTATCTTCTTCTATCATCATCTTCTATATATACTGGGCGTCCTAGACCAGCCCGCCTAGACCGATCAGTGAGTACCATTGCCGACGTTTTTTTAATCCACTTCCGATTGAAACCGCAAGTCGGAATAATATCAAAACAAGAATGATAGAATACAAGATTGCGCCACTCAGAGAGTACTTTTAGTGTCATTTTTGCCTGACGTCATTTTGGTGCAATTCGAGCGAGATAAGTAAAACACGAAGGAAAAAATATAAACAATGCGGAAAAATGTGTTAATATCAATATTAGATGGTCCAATTTTGCAGGAATTAATAAAACTACGAGAACAACATTTATTTCGATTCCAGTTTTTTTTCATTAAGACCGTACTTTGGAAACAAAACACAAAAATTATCTAAAACTAATTTATGGTTTAGGAACCGTCTATTCAAATAAGCAATATTTGATATATCGAGGAATTCGATAGTATACCATGTACGCATCTCCGGTTACAAATAAAAAAAACGAATAATTTGGCGACTACTCTATCGTAGTACTTTGATTTCTGTACCTAGGTTGGTAGGTACATACTTCATCTACGTGTTCTTTTCGAAACGCAAGTTTCTTTCTGAATCCCGTCGCATTTCTTCAGATTCCTTTAAAATGTCGTCGGCTAACCTCATTGCTTCTGCAAGATCCCGGCTGAGATGTAGAATCACTGCATGTACCGATTGCTAATAAAGCAGAAAATTTGAAATTCTGCCCTAGAAATCATTTTAAAAAGTTGGGAATCCGTAGATGAAGTATCCGGATCCTTCCAAGTAATTATTTTTTCGAGAGCTTTAATTACAAAAGGATGCAATTCGATGTATGTTGATACCTCTTTATGGCTTTCAGTCCATCTGGTTGGACATAGAGTTTCCAGTCTCTGCTTCGGCCAGCGGAAAATATGAGATCGAATAGTTCCCGGAGCATTTCCAATAACTCGGTTTAAATATACCTGCGTTCCATGGAACTCACCACTCATAGCTGGAAATCCATCATAACCCTGTCCTACCAAAAAGTGCAGTCAATACCAAGTTTAAGTAGATAATTTATTGATGTTTTTACTACTCTTTACCAGTGGCTTCTATGATCGGAATAAATCCTGACGATTGCTCAAAGCAGCGAACACAGTAGGCAAGCTGATCAATTCCGACAATGCTGTACCATCCGCCAATATTGAAAACTCTTAGATTTATTAATTGTTGAGATGTATTTTGTATTCGCGTTGTGGTAAATGTCAATGATTTATTTTAAATGTTTTGCTGGGTACAATGCGTGTTTAGCAGAAGAGATCAACACGGTTAGAAAAGCTCTCGAAAATTTCACTCGTTGGACGGTGCTTCCTGATTTAGTTTTTTATTCTTAATTTAGTGATAGATTTTACAGCCGAAATTACTTCATGTTAAGATAGTTCAAGTTTCAAATACATAATAGCAAGTTACAAATAAACTGCACTATTAAAAATATATTGAGGGGCGAAATTTCCGGGCGTGTTCAGGACATTTTCGGAACTATTTCACATAGGATCATTTTGAGAACAATAATGGGAATAATAATGCACCATTGCGGGCCGTTTCAAGGTTTGTTCAAAGTTCACTACTTTTTCGACCGTTTCGGAGCTTATTCAATACTATTTTAGGAACACTTCTGGACCATTTAGGACTATTTTGAGATGGTTGGTACCATTTCAGGAGCGTTTCAAGACTTGTTCAAGATCATTTCGGGACAAGTTCAGAGTTTGTTTTTCAGAACCACTACTGGGCTATTTCAGAACCTTTTTGGAATAATTCGCGATCATTTCGGTGAAGTTCGAAATTAGTGATGAAAACAAATCTTAGGCTTTCCTTATACGTACATAATCATTTGAAGTTTCCCTTTGATTAAACACTTGCCTGTATTTACAGGGGACTTCCGAAACCTTGGCGCATTGTCATACCCTCAATTCTTGTGTTTTCGCTGATGACACTGGGCACACTAATCTACACAATTTTGGCCAGCTCATATCTGAAGAATCTCTGTAATGGATTGCGTGAAAACCTAACAAAGCCCGATGCCATCACGTAAGTCCCTTCAGTTCATATTTACTAATATCTTATTTCGTTAAAACGTTTTTCTTTGCAACAGCTGTGGTCAGGCCATCTCTGTACTGCGTCCCCTCATACGACAACACGATTTGAAACACGATGTATATTTGAATCTCTTTCGCTTCGCCTACATGTTTGCATTGGTTTTATGGCTGTTGGCGCTATTGCTGATGTTGCTGCGATATTTCTTCGCAATTGACTTCCAACTCATGGATGTGCAATCGTTGTATGACAATAAGTTGGCGCGACGCCTTAGTCGACCGGAACCTGAATTTACAGAAGTACTGTTGGATACGGCGCAATCGCCGACACTTTTATTGCCACGCAATGAACGCAACAAATCCGAGGATGATTTTCAGAGTGCCAAGTCAAATTTAAGTGAGGTCGCAATGCCGTTACTCGAAACTGGCAAGCAACAACAGCTGGGATTAAGGCCATATGCGCAGTCGCAGCAGCGAGTAGTTTAGTTTGAGAGAGGTTTAATTAAGGAAACGGTAATGTGGCAGAGCGAAAGCGCAAATATTCATAGTAAATAGTGAACAACAAAGTTTTATCTCAGGTATTTTGTTTAGTTGGAATTTGCACAATCGAACCGCGAACGTTTTCATCATTATGAATCTACCTTCTCTCCTACTCACTCCCTCTTATACCGCGGCAAGATATTATTTTATTAAACGTATTTAAAACAAATGATACAACTAGAAAAAACTCAAGCAAAAACTATGTACGTGTGTTTGCATTCACTGCTCTTATTTTAAGTAAATATTTATTAATTTTTATATGTATATTTTTTAACTTTTTTTTTTTTTAACCACTGTGTGCGTGTATTACATATTACAGCTGATAACAGTAAAATATATACATAAATGTGTGTATAAAAAATATTATTCAAATTGTGTGAAATTGTTTTTTATATGGAAGTGGCTTAGTTCAATTTCATGGTAATAGTTTTAGTCTCTAGATAATTATCCAATCCATCTTTACCCAACTCACGTCCGATACCGGAATGCTTGTAGCCGCCAAAGGGTGTTTGTGGCAGCACTGCGTCATAACAGTTGATCCAAATAGAGCCGGCATCTACGCTGTTGGCATATTTCATTGCCTTGTTGATGTCATTGGTAATAACACCAGCGGCCAAGCCGTACTCAACGTTGTTGGCACGCTCAATGATCTCATCGAAGCTACTAAATTTGAATATAGACATTACTGGTCCGAAAATCTGCAATGGAATAAAAAATGAGCTGCGAGATTCTCTTCTCTTGAAATACATATCCGAAAATTAAACAAATAATCTAAAAATTTTAACTTAATTTTTTCCTATCTTGATCGACAATCATTTTGATGATTAAAACGCAATTGCCGTAAGATTAGAACTCCACTCTAAGCCTTGTGAATTTTAATGCTTACACCGCAATATTAAACATAAAGCTGAATGAAGGGCTGATAGCCTGACAAGCCTTTTGTGAGGTTCTATGTCGGCGGTGGACACCGGCCTGCCCGCGGGCAAAGCTCTTTCAAGCGTTGTATACATTTAGTAACGTTCTAAACTTTTCACCGTTGCTACTAATACCATTCAATTTAACGGATTAAAAAATCTTACCTCCTCCTGAGCAATTTTCATGTTATCAGTGACATCAGAGAACACCGTCGGCTCGATGAAGTAGCCCACATTGCCGATTCGCTTGCCACCGCATTGAAGCTTGGCACCCTGTTGCTTGCCACTTTCAATATAACCCATAACTTTATTCAACATTTCTTCATCGATTTGGGGACCCTGCTTTACGGATTCATCGAAAGGATTGCCAACCTTGCGTGCTTTGGCCGCAGCAGTAGCTTTAGCAACAAACTTATCGTAGATCTTCTCATGCACATAGGTGCGACTACCAGCGCAACAACTCTGACCATGATTGGAGAAAAGCGCTTCGTGTGTGATGTCTACCGCCAAGTCAACTATGTTTAAAGAAAAAAAAATATTGTTTCATCTAAAAGAAAAAATCTATCTAATTGTAGCCAACAATAGCTTACCGTCAGCATCTTCAAACACGACAACTGGACTCTTGCCACCCAACTCTAGCGATACGCGCTTCAAATTCGATTTAGCAGCAGACTGCATGATAATCCGGCCAATTTCTACGGAACCAGTAAATGCGACCTTCTGTATATCGCGATGGCTTGAGATCGCCGCACCCGCTGTCGGACCATAGCCGGTGATGATGTTAATAACGCCCGCAGGAAAACCAGCTTCCTTTGTTAAGGCAGCCAAGTGCAATGCGGTAATCGGCGTCTGCTCAGCTGGCTTCATAACAATCGTACAACCAACAGCGAGCGCTGGCCCCCATTTCCAAGCCAACATGAGCAGCGGATAATTCCACGGAATGATTTGACCGACCACACCTACTGGTTCTTTGCGTGTCATTGCCACAAAGCCATCAGCGGGTATGGTATCACCGAAATACTTATCAGTCCAGCCGGCATAGTACTTCAGTGTCATAATAGAGACTTCCACATCGAAGAGGGCCTCTGCATATGGCTTGCCATTGTCTTGCGTTTCAAGGCTGGCCAGCACATTTTTATCGCGGTCCATGAGACTGCAGAGCCTGTAGATGGGCGTGTTGGGTAGAATTGGGTAGAAGAAGAAAAAAAAAAATACTATATATTAAGAAGAGTTAAGCGCAGAAAATCATACTTGTTGATAAGTTCTGTGCGTTGCAATGGACTCAGTTTGCGCCATTCGGAGTTTCTATGGAATGCTTTTTTTGCAGCAGCCACGGCCAAGTCCACATCAGCCTGCGGGCGATATTACAAAAATAGAAAACTTTGCACTTATAATTTGCAATATTGTTGAATAAAATGATTTCTTTATTTAATGACAATTCGTTTTATGGTCAGCTATTAGAGAGCTTTATAGCTTCTGCACACTCACCTTATCGCCCTCGGCAACTTCGGCTATCAGCTTACCAGTGGCAGGATTGATAGTTGGAAACTTCTTACCAGACACGGCGTCGACAAACTCATTGTTGATAAATAGCTGTAAGCAATAAACAGTTCAAATAAAGAATAACTTAGTATTTAATATTGTATTTCAATATCAACTGATAACGCAACTTTTGTATGGGCGACGGCCATTGACAGGCCTTGAAATGTTTTCAGTGAAGCGTAAATATTTCTTGCGGGAAGCTTCGAACATTAATTTGTATGTACATATGTTTTTGCACATATGAATATATAAAATTACAATTATGAAAAGAATGTATGTAAATAAAAAGCTTACTTTGTTTGAAGACTATTCAGTCATAATCTATACATAGTATAAAGGAAAATCGGCACGACAAGGGAGTCGACGACGGAGTCGGAAACGTCTAAAAAAAGGTTACTCAAAAACGCTCGATGCTCTTGGGTGACCAATGAACTAACCCAAAGAAATTATATTGACCGAATCACCATCAGAGACACACTGCCGAAACGCAACGAAATCGAATTATTTTTGAAGCGACTCTTTATGGGCGATAAAATATTGTTCAAATACGAGAATAAGCGATTGTTGCCAAATGCCGATGACTCTTTACAAACGACTTCAAGGCCGGGATTGACGTCTAATAAGGTTATGTTGAGTGTTTGGTGGGATTGGAAGATAATTTTTCATTATGAACGATTAATTCGGTCCACTGCTGATCACAACTGGACCGTTTAAATGAGGCAATCGAGAAAGAGCGATCAGAATTGACCAACAAAAAATTACATCGACGTCGACAACCATAATAAAGCCGATTGTGTACATACATATGTTCTGTAAATAAATGACTTTAGTTATTTTCTATAATTTCGTAAGTGCTATGTTGTTTAGAATGAAAAGTATTATTAATAGTATTTATTTATCTTTATGGTTTGAGTATCTAAAGACTTAACGTTAAATTTTATATAATAGCATTAATTAAGCAAATAATAGTTTTAGATTAAATTGCAAGTGCATATGTACATACAAACAAGATATTTAAGCACATTAATTCATAGCTCATTTAAAAATTCGAATAAGTCCTCCATATATTCTTATAAGCTGTAATCAGTGTATTTTTATGAACTGTAAGCGGCTAGATAAATCGATACGCAACCATTTTTTTTTTTATTAAATTACTAAAAAAGGTTTGGTTTTTATTTGCCTTATCGAAAAAATCCCACCACTTTGTGACTTAAATTCAACTAAACCACAGTTAGCAAAATTTTATTCTCACTAAAATTACCCTAAAAAAACTCCGCTATACTTATACAAAATTCTTCTTTAATTTGGGGGGAAATCCTCTTAGCAGATGTTTCATTATCGATCTGTTCAATAATTCATTAAATTTGATTAGTTTTGTGGCATTTTGATAAAACAACTAAATTGCCTTCTGATTAAAAAGCAAATATGATTCTCTTCAAAGATTTCATATTTTTTATTAAGCTTTTATTATAAAGGCATCTTGAACTACGTCTATGGCTACTCAATCATTGAAATCTTGTTTGGTAAGCCAAACAAATAATGCTTTAAAGAAAAAATAGCCAGACTCGAGATAGGTTGTTTTCAAACTGAGTTTTTACTGAGATTCATACTAACCCATGGCGAAAACTTTTAGCGGCTTATGCTTGAGTTACTAAAACCTATTTATTTATGTATTAAAGGAATCATGACTACCCTGCAGGAAATGGGACTAGTTTGTAACTAACTATTAACTAACTGGCAGTCGACTAGTGGTAATTATTTATTAACGGGCCATGCCCGCGAAATAGTGCGAACTGGTTTCCTCTGCATTAGATGTCAACTAACTTGTAGCTAACTGCTATTGGACATAAAATATCAATAAGAAAAACAAAATATTTTTTTTTCACTTATTTATTTACTTTATTTTATTACATTTCATATGATAATTGGTTTCTGCAGGGTACTTCTTTCTTATTCATAAAAAATAAAATAGATTTAAAGAGCTCTATAAAGTGACATTTTCATACAAATTTTCAATTTATAAAGCAGTTAAAGTCTTCTTTTTTTATGCATTTGGGTGTTAATTTTTTAAAGCTAATCGCATTCTTGAAATGAATTCTTGCGGTGATTTTATGATCACATTCCTCGACAATGGCAGATTTCTGATGGGAGACTTTCGAGAACATGATTCAATAATAAAAGGTTTGCTCACAGAACAATTTTCTCGCTCCCTCTTGACAAAATAGGCTCCCTTAGCAAGGCACTTTGTGTGGGTTCGTGTGTGTGTGCAAAGATTTTGTAAGAGAGTTAAGGTGCCTATGTACTGATGAGCAAACCTTTAATTATTGAATCATGTTTCTGAGTACACATCAAACTTAAAAGACATTTTTACAAAACTTTATTCAAATCGATTCAGCTGGTTCTGAGAATTCCAAATCGGAATGTGCTACAATGAGTTATGTAGAGCGATTCAAATGTGTATATTTACACAAGTAACACTTAAAAATATATATATATATGTATAAGCCAAGCTTTTACCACCTAACGGACGAGTTTCAAGTGAAGGTATTTCTTTCCATTTATGTAAGTAATATATCGCACAAGATCTTCAAAAGTGACACAACTCAAAATTACACGCTCGTCAGAAAACACGAAAAACTATTTCGTTCCACATTTAATCACATGGCCAAAGGAGACTGTAACAAAAAATCTCGCATTTTGATTGCCCTTTTCTCTTTTCGTGTTCGATTCTAAAATAGGGGCAAACGGAGAGGAAACTTTTTTTTCGTTTCTCAGAATGTCACACTCTTGTAAGGCAAAAAAGGCAAATTTTCTGCGCTTTGAAGCTTTGTCATGGGAGATGGTTGCCCTGAAAATCAGATGGTTGGTTGCTTAAAACGACAATATTATGAAATGAGTGAGCTGAATAAGGACAAGAAGGCAAAAACGTGCCTTTTTACAGGGTTGAGTGTAACATCAAAGACATTTTGCACCGGAGAAGAACAACATTTTTTGGAAGAAACGAAATCACCATTAGGTTTTCTCAAAAAATTATAAGAAAAATTTGCTCCAAGATTTTTCTTAAAGGTGAATAAAAGCTCTGTGTATATATTATTGGTGCATTATTTGAAGATCATGTGCGTTATGTTCTAGGTATAAAACAAATACCTTAAAAAAACGAATTTTCCAAATACGTATCTCGACTTCTGCGCCACCTATCGGGCATAATTTTTGTGGAGTTATTCCTTTTCGGACCATAAATAAGGGGGTTTAAAATATCTCGACACATGGATCACCTAGTGGATTAATTCATCTTTTGTGTTGCATTGTCATCGGGTTCTGAGCTAAGTTTTGAAGTTTCAATTATCTAGCTCTCCGGGGAGTTGGCTGAAAATTGATTGCAAGCTTTGATTACACACAGGTGAAACTTAATAAAAGCTTGTAAATAAAATAAATGAAATGAAATGGGAGGTAAAATAGAAGAAGAAGAATACAGACAAGTACATACTATGTATGTAAATATTGCCCACATGAAATTATAAATAAGCGTCCCTATACCATTTGAAAGAAAAAAATAATAATTTTCGCACCTCTCGAAAGATAAGCGACCAAGAGTTTAGAATATTGAAAGGTTATCTAGATGTGTACATATGTACATTAGACTGGTTAAAAAAAAAATCTAATATCTTTTTTGTTTCAATTTTTAAATTTCCTAACTCGTTTTTAACTCAACCTATCGGAAAAAAAAATAATTTTTGCACCTCTCCCAAGATAAGCGCCAGAGAGGGTTAAAGAGATTGAAAGGTTATCTAAGTATATGTTCATATATGTACATATCTGTGTACAATGTACACTGTACATATGTACATATAAACTCTAGACTGTTTAAAAAAATTCAATTTTGAAATTTCGTATGAATTTTTTGAAGGAAGTATTTTTTTTTTATTAAGCCGCAAACACATCATAGATGGAGAAGTGGCGAGCATTTTTGCATAGATACTTAACTGATAAAACTTTGTTTTTGGATTATCACACTTTTTCAGCAAATGAGGGTCATACAAATGTATGTACATTAGGGTGGTCCAAAACCAGTAAAGTCGGAATTATAATGCTCTCACACCTTAGGATTGTTCTATATCGAAAAAAGTATTCCCTTATTTTTTATTTTGAAATCAAAAAATATTTAGAGGTCGCTCAAAGTTTACGATGTAAGTATTTTTATATGAAAAAAAAATTTCATAGAAATGGTATAGAATTGTTGAAAATCAATATTTTTCTATTGGAAAACTCTGGTTCTCTTCAGGATACTTTCAGTAATAATACCCGATTGTTTACTTAACCATTTTTTAATGCAAACGATTTTTTATTGGTCGCCCCATTGCATTTTTCGGGGTTATTGGCGACCTATATATTATAATTTTGACGGACCTATAAATTATAGTTGCTATGAAGAAATGGTTAAATAAACAATTGCGTATTATTACTGGGAATCTCCTGCAGATAAATACAGTTTTCTGGAAGAAAAATGATAATTTTTAACTGCTCTATACCATTTCTACGAAAAGTTGCTTTTCCCTCATATAAAATGCATGGAAAACTTTGGGCGCCTTGAGCGACCTTTAAATATTAAAAATAAGGGTGTATTTTTACGGGATATAGAACAATCCTAGAGGGTGTGAGCATAAAAATTCCGACTTTACTATTTCCCCCACATGCATTTTTGGACCACCCTAATGTACAAACATATCGCCGTTTACAATGCAAAACCCCGTAAATGGCCTTTGTGCCAAAAATTATATTTGCTTACCGAAAACTCCAGGCATCAAGACTCATGGTCTGATTATGGCAACTTAACGTAACTAACGGCTCTGCCTTAAAAATTCTGTTAAATGGGTGTTGCTTATAATTGAACAGCCGAAACTTAACGTAACTAAATGCCACGTCTAAATCTGTTTCATTTTTATTCTCTAAGTTCTACGTTCCGTTAAGTTAAATTGCCATAATCAGGCTTTTATCCATTCCTACTAAAATATCGATATTTAGATATAAAAAGTAGAGATCAGAAATTAGAGAGAGCTGAAAGAGAGAAC